TTGCATTGTGAAAACTAAAAATATTGAGGGAGGTCCAGAGCTGCCATTAGCCAGTCTAAACATGATCCACGACACACTTGAAAAGTCAATAGCTCAAATGAAAAGCAGTACGAACGAGTTGATTAGCTTGGTGAGCTGTTTGATGGAATCTTTCCTAACAGAGCCCGGACAGCCTTCTCCTGACTGATGCAGCAGCTCAGCGTCTTTGTATTTACTCATGTTTGTTTTCTCCTGACATCCATTGCTGAGGTCGCTGGAAGCCACACACACACACACACACACACACACACACACACACACACACACACACACACACACACACACTCCCTCAGAAAGTCAAACTGCACAGTCATCCGTATTGCAAGGAAGCGCTCAGTGGTTTGTTAATGATGTCTGTCTATAATGAAGTGGATTAGTGTTGCAAGGCTTTAATATTTTCTGCTGAATGGGCCTCTTCTGCCATCCCTCGCCTGCCGTTCTCGTGTTTGAGCACGATTCTTCTGAGAAATAATTTTGGGAAAAAAAAAAAAAGAATCCCTCGCTCAATTCAAAAACCTGGGTGTGCATCTAATTTCTTTAGATGTCTGTACAATTATGAGAAAGTGCACTGTCAGGGGGCATGAGGTTTTACATGACAGGGAGTGCAGCGCATGCCGCAAGGTGAGGGAGATGAACAAAAACCCTGTGTGAGCTCTTTAATCCACAGAATGCATTTACAGCTTGACATCACAGGCATTTAGCAGATAGATGTGCTAAAAAATGAAAAGAGCATTCAATCCACTACAAGTATACTGGGGTGAAGACTATAGTGGGAAAAACGAAACTGGCTAATCCCCAAACCTTCAGTTTCTATTCTCTATTGTTATCACAAAGCAGAAAACAGGTTAAGAAAGAAACTAAAGTGCACTTTGTTGGGTTGACAGCCTCTTAGTATTAAAACCCAGTTGTTACAATCTCTCATTATCTTTGCTGGGTACTGTAGTGGCTGCAGATGTTCCTTCTGAGGCTGGACACAGTAGCCCGCTGGATACAGTAGTGGATGGTATGGTCAGGTAGCCTAGCACTACTCTGTATTAACTAACATATTAACGAACAAGAAAACTGTTTTCCATTCCTGGAAGCATTTGTTTTACAGTACAGATGTGGCCACAGTAGACGGCTGATATAATTTGCTTTTGCTTCACCTGCAAGTGACAATAAGGAATCTGTATGCATTATTAAAATGATTAAGTCCAGGATCAAAGCATCTAAAAGAGGATATAAGAGACATGAGAATAAGTGTAACTGTAACTTCAAGCGTATTATTTAAAAAGTTAAGCTTAACTGTGCTTCAGCTGTGCTATTTCCATCTCCATTTCAGTGTTATGCATGAGATAAATGCAGGCTTTTGTTATGCACTGTATTAGTAAGGCGATCAAAGGTCAGACTCTTTAACATATTGTTCTTAATGAGAGCAAATTAGACCAGGCGAAGAGAACTTGAAAAGAGTTTCTAATAATTCATACTTCCACTGTTCCCACAAGCCCACGAGCAGTCAAAGGTAACACCCTTTAGTCTTGTAATTATAAGGGCCAAGAACTCAGGGGCGATGGAAAGGGACTTCCACAGTGTGCTGGCTAGCTAAGTGTGAGAGGTCAACACGAAATGCAAAGATTATGAAATCTATACTCAATGGAATATACTTTCAATTTTACCCTTCACTTGTAT